TCTGTGAGCTGCTGTGGGCTGAGGGCGGGCGCGCGGAGGGGGCTGGAGCGCCAGACACCTGTTGGGGCTGCGCGTGCGTCTGCCAGGCACTCAGAGAGGGGCTGGGCGGCGGGAGCGGTGGCGGCCGTGGCCGAGTGCCCTTTGAATCAGGAAAAAGGCTTTCTTGGTTTCTGAACTGAAGAGGGAAGGCTGTCCAAAGCCAGGATAGGGCCTGGGCCCAAGGGGCTAGAGGGGGCTAGAGGGGGCTAGAGGGCCCAGGGGGCCTGGGAGGGCTGGACAGGAAGAAGCCTGGGAAGCACTGAATCAGGGCCAGGGGCTCCTGTGCCCAGAGGTCCCCACACAGGATCTTCCCTCCTGCACACAAGCCCAGGGGACACTAGTGGGCCTGGGGGCTGGGCAGGGGTCGAAGGCCAGGTCCAGGCAGAGGATGTGTCTAGGAGACGGTGGAGGGGGTGGGTAAGGTGAGGTTGCTGACAAGAAGGGTGGCGACTGCCTGTCTTTGCATTGTGGAGGGTCTGACCGCAGACCCTGGTCCGGCTCTGACCCACCACGGCCCTGCTCTCCCACAGGAGCCTTCTGTATTCCCCTGTATGTGCCCTATGTGCTGACTGGCCGCTGGCCCTTCGGCCGGGGCCTCTGCAAGCTGTGGCTGGTGGTGGACTATCTACTCTGCACGTCCTCCGTCTTCAACATTGTGCTCATCAGCTATGACCGGTTCCTGTCCGTTACCCGCGCTGTGAGTCTGGGATGCGGGTGCCCATGCTCACTCCTGGGGGGAGGTGGTCAGGAGTGGCCCAGAAGGCACCCGGCAGGGCATGTGGGCAGTGCCAGGTGAGTATGGTCCTACTTGCCTCACTCCTGACATGCCAGGCACTCTCTACAGCCAGCTGCCCACTCAGTAGTCATTTGCTGCCAGTAGACTGGTCCTGGGACAGGCAGGAGGCACCACCTGGACCTGGCATCAGGTGTTCCTGAAGGAAGGGGGTCACTTCAGCCTCCTCTTTGGGGCAGGTGCAGAGTCGTTGGAGCTGAGGGAGGATCTGAGCCAGAGGCCCTTGGTGGCACCCCCCTGCCTTGTGTGTGTGTGTCTGTGTGTCTCTGTGCATCCCAGAAAAACAGACATCAGTTCCTGGCTCCACCAGTTCCCCTCGGTGTGAGTGGCCACCATGAGCTGGGGCCCTGGGCTGCCTGGGCTCCCATGACTTTAGCACATGGGCATGAGCCTGGCACAGCAGAGCAGAAGTCTCACCTTGCTCCTACGTCTTCTCCTTGATGGCTTTTTTGGGCACCCAAGGGCTCTCTGCTCAGGAGCCACATGTGTCCTATCTAGAAGGGCATGGGACAGAGTGCAAAGAGCATGGGTTTGAGGTCAGTAGGCCTGGGTCGAACCCACTCTGCCCCCTTAGCCGATCCACCTGGAAAGTCCCTCCCTCCCTGAGCCACCCAGAAAGAAAGTGGGGAGAGTGATGGGGGTGTTGTAAAGATTAAATGAGATGACATCCAAAAGATGCCTGACCCAGCATGTCCCCACAGGTCTCTTACCGGGCCCAGCAGGGCAACACGCGGCAGGCGGTGTGGAAGATGGCGCTGGTGTGGGTGCTGGCCTTCCTGCTGTACGGGCCGGCCATCCTCAGCTGGGAGCACCTGTCGGGCGGCAGCTCCATCCCCGAGGGCCACTGCTACGCGGAGTTCTTCTACAACTGGTACTTCCTCATCACGGCCTCCACACTCGAGTTCTTCACGCCCTTCCTCAGCGTCACCTTCCTCAACCTCAGCATCTACCTGAACATCCAGAGGCGCACCCGCGACCGGCTGGACGGGGTCCGAGAGG